GGAGGGAGAGATAGAGAAATAGTTGTGTATGTGTGTGTATGCCTGCATGTTTATGTGCAATTTCTATTTGTATTTGTAATTGTGGTATGTGTGTGTGTGTGTGCATGCGCGTGCATGAACGCACACTTACACAAACACACAAATTATATTTTGACCTTGCCCACTATTGACAGGTGGTCCATGCAGGGGTGACTGTCAGTACGACCCTTGGGTCAGAAAAGGCCAGCCACCACTGTCCTGTAAGAAATACAGTAGCTATCTAAATATCCTATATTTTCTACATTTTAGACTACTGGATCTAGGCATGGAAAAACAGGAATCATATATATACTATACTTCGCATACGCTTCCCTAAAGGAAACAGGGCACGGCCATTCCCAAGGGGCTTTTTCCAAGGGGCCTTGCTTCAGTTGGTCTGTAATGCAGATGGAAAGCTATGGCAGATGTCAGTCTTCCACACACAACCAATAGTCAGATATCCAAGCACATAGCGAGACCCAAATGCAATTTAATGTAAAATGGGAATATATACTAAAACCGTGGTCAGTGCCAAAACTCAGTAAATGCTGACCAGGTCCTGGTTCAGAACCCCCATACCCAGGAGTAGCTAGTATCCTAATATGTTGCCACTGGACTTGCTTCAGAACCAGTGGCGTAGCGTGGGGGTGCAGGGGGGCCGGCCGCACCGGGCGCAACATCTGGGGGGGGCGCTCGCACTCGCAGCTCTCTGCCCCTACCTGGCTCACTCACTCTCTCTCACTGCAGTGCTGGCTGTGCGAATCCGATCCGAGCTGCTGGGTCGCCGCCCACTGTAGAGGGGGTGGGTGCCAGGCGTGCGGTGCGGAGAGAGAGCGAGGGACTATCTGGGGGAGGGACAGTGCAGCGGCCGCCCAGCGCAGCGCTGAGCGCGGGAGAGAACCACACCAGACCAGACCAGGCAGCAGCAAGAAGAAGCTGGCAGCGGCGGCAGGTTAGGGGTTAGGGGGCGCAAATTACTTGCCTTGCCCCGGGTTAGGGGGCGCAAATTACTTGCCTTGCCCCGGGTGCTGACAACCCACGCTACGCCGCTGTTCAGAACTACTGCTATATAGAAACATAGGAAGAGAGGAAAGTTTCCATCAGACCATTGGCCCATCTTGCCCAGCCCTGATAGCCAGTTTCAGACTGAGGGTCTCTCACATCTTATCTGGAAATGCCGGGAATTGAACCTGGGACCTTCTGCATGCAAAGCAGCTGATCTGCCACTGAGCTATGGCCCTTCCCAGGTGAATACAGTTTTGCTTCCATCATTTCGTTGAGCGGCATAAGTAGTTTGTGCCTGCTGGGTTTCCTAGGTCATGAATTGGGACCTTCGGCCCTTCAGGTGTCACTGAGCTCCATTCCAGCCCCATCTGGCATTGCCTATTGGGTGAGTCACCGTTCACCATCCCGACTCTAGGCCCTTGAATCCTCATCCCTCTTCTTCGTCACCACCTTATCGCTGCAAAGGAGGAGAGCTACAGATTTCGCTGGCTCATCTGGGGAGTCCAAAGGAAGCACACGAGCTAAACAATGTGAGAGGGTGGGGTGCAGGGAAGATAAGTCCTTCTAGCAAATACAGCCATGACAATAGGAAAAGTGGCAAGGGGTGTTGCACCAGCAGTCCCTGACGTGCGATGAGCACAACTCCTGAAATTCCTGGAACTACAATTTTGTACCACAACAATGCCATCCATGCAACAACAAAGGGCTCTGTGAACAAAAGCAGGCACTTTCTGCAGCACAAAGTAGGGCGGGCACACACACACACACACACACACACACACACACACACGCTGTGGCAGCATCACAATTTTTTTTGCAGCTTTCTGCACACTTGAGAGGAGCTACTCCTCAACAGCAGAAGGGAGGAATCAGTGCAAGATCTGATTCCCCACCTCTTGAAATTTGTCTCAAGGTCGGGGCAACAAATTTTTCCCCACCACCCTGTGCCCTGTGGCACAATTAATGTATTTATTTATTTCTGCCCTCCTTGCCTGCAATTTCTCATACAAGCCTGGCACTGGAAGGTTTGTGCCAGCCAGCTTGGAAGATCTTCACTTTTAAAATTAAAAAGCCATAGGTATTGAAACAAAGGAAAACCAGCTCACTTTACATGCAGCCAAGCACACGCAACAGCCAGTGGCCTTGTGCGAACACACCCACATCCCCTTACGTGCCAAGAGATGCATCTAGCTAGTGTGGGGGTTCAAAAGGGACTTGGGAGTCCACCATCTACATTAGCTGTGGCTGTAAAAACCCATCTCCAGTCTCGTATCTTCATGGCTGAATGAAGTGGCCATGCTGATGTGGTCTATGTGCTGCACGTTTCATGCACATTGAAATCTCATCCAAGGCAGAGACCTTCTGGCCTTAAGATTATGCTCATGTTTCCCTCAAGGGTTAAATATTAATCGCCTCCTTATTTACACAGAAAGACATCTAATACAGCTCTGAGATTTCTGCATAAGAGTCCTGGCTGCCCTGACATTTGTTAGACCATATCCCAGCGGCACAGTTACAATTCAATCAAAGTATACTATAGAAATATTAAGCAGAACAAGGAAATTAAACACCCCCACCCCACTGCAGATTAACACGATCCTCATTGCTGAACTGGACCAACAGAATACATTTATCCACTGGGGGAAGACTTCTGTTATTGTTTTGATATCTTGATCGCAGAGTGAAGGATATGCTGTGAATTGTCCAATAACACTAATTATAGACGGAACTAATGCAGACACACGTATTGTGTAGCTGCATAATCACATACACATTTATTAATAAAGATTGCTTTTTAAAAATAATAATAAAATCGTGTTTTAAATGGGTCCACGCCAACTCTATACTGAGTCGAAACAAAGAAACAAAAATCACCAGGATGTTCACAGAAAATAGCTCTTTCGATTCATTAAGTGAAGGAGTGTAGATGCAGAACATCACCTTCGGAGCTGTTAAACTGGATGTTCTCGGGGAAATCGGGACACCGCTGTAAATGAAATTTAAAGCAAGAAGGGTGTTTTTAATATTGCACAGGAAATCTCCAACAGAAACACATGTATCTGAAGACACAGAACGTTTAAAAATATGGGTGTCGGATTCTGAGAAGAATTTGCATCATTTCAGAGATTTGCTCCTCCCCCCACCTCTTTTTTAACGCCCTGAAATTGAGTACAAATTAAATTTGATTTATCTGGTAACCTCCAAAGTCATTTCACCATGGTAAAGATCAACAGTTTAGTGTCTTCTACTAAGATTATTCCCCTGACTGTGGGAAAGTGTTACATTGTACCACAATGGGGCAGCAGTTTTCAGCATCTATGGTGAAAAGGATATTTCTTTTACACATTTTGCCTATTTCCAAGGGCATATTTAAACGTAGCAAGCTTTGCTTATATTTTCCTCTTCCCTCTGCTCTTTACATGTGTTACAATTCACCAGCTTGCAAATAACTTTCTTTGTGTTTAGCTGTGGGTGCCCTGTGTTGCAAGATTCTTCCTGGTTCTCTGAATTGTAGCTATCTTACTGATACTATGAATGGAAGAATAAAGGGGATCAGAATGCATGGGGGGGGGAATAAGAGCACAATAATTCAAGGAAGTCCTACACAACTTGAGACATCAAGCCAAAGGCAGCATTCCATGTTCAATAGACTCCTTTTGCTCTTGTCTAGGAGTGCAGAAATTGGGCTGGGGCAGTAGAGCTGAGCCTAACTTTCTTGACCAAATTTTGAAAAATTTCTCTTCTGAGCTTCTCCTGATCTATTAAAGAATTCCAGTCCTCCGCTGTATAATACTTTGCATAATGACCTCCCCAGTTTTGCCCTCCATGATTGCCCTCCAACTGTAAATCTTGTTTTAACGTGATGTAATTTTTTTTAGTATAGCAAGAAACAATTTGGTCCCTAGCTGATTGCTTCCCCACCCACCAAAATAAATGAACTTTCAAGTGAGCTGAAATTTCACAGGAAACAATTTTCTGATTGTTGTTGTTGTGGTTGTTTGTACAATCTTTTTCAAGTTCCTTTTAAACTGTTGAAATAATTTCAGCCCTGGCCTGAAGAATATTCAGTGAAATCCCCTGCCTTTTGCTGCCAACAAAGGCATGGAGAATTCTGAGGGGCCATTTTCTCTCAGCCCCTGTGTGGCTTGTCAAGAATCTGAGAGATTGCAACATGTTTATTAAGCCCCTGGCAGAACACATTTTATGGCTGGTGGACTGTATCCGGCTAGGCAGGGCACATGTTGCATTGGTCTGTGTTAATTGGTTGGTTCTTGAATTTGCCTTGAAAGTTAACCTGTAGTTGCTTGATTCCACATTGGGGATCTTTAGCATTGCTGAGACACTGCTTTTCTGCAATGAGCTGGAAGTGTAATTAAAATGGGTTCAAGTGGTACTTAATATAACGTGATATTATCCAGTCACGTCCTTTGCCATGGCCAAGAGCTTATTCTCAAGTAAGTCCCATTCTGCAAAGGTCCCCTGTAAGGTTAATTAGTAGCTTCCATCTTGCAGCTTCTGCCTCCTTTATTGGTTGGGTGTTTTTTTCCCCTCGGTGAGATGCTGCGTCTCTTTATGGTATGAATAGTTTAGCATTACATGCATGGGCCTCAGGTTTAGGAGCTCCTCCTCTTCTGGCACTCCCATAGGACTTTCTCATTTATATCTCATAGTTATTAGCATTAACTATGTTTCACAGATGCAAGCTAACATCAGATTGTGGTTAATGATCCCTAGCTTGTTTCGCACAAGAAGCAATAACCAAAGTTCCTAGGTTGGGCAGAACAATAAACTATGGTTCCGTCTTCCTTCTCGTGGCAGTACTAGAGGAGGTGAGCGGTGTTCCCACATGTGTTGCTAAATGTAAATAACTTGACAAGTAGACAGACAGATAGGGCACTCATAGAATCACCAAATTGCAGAGTTGGAAGGGACCATGAGAGTCATATAATCCAACCCCCCGCAATGCATGATTCTTTTGCCCAACATGGGGCTTGAGGCCATGACCCTGAGATTAAGAGTCTCATGCTCTACCAGCTGGACACAAAGCAGTAAAAGCTGCAAGAGGTGCAAGGGGCAGCTTTTAATGAAAGACAACAGCAGCCTTTAACCGCTTGGTGCTGCTGAAGAAACGACACTGGACTGCAATGATTTAGTCTCTAGTGTAAGTGAATAAAGGATAGCAATGTGAGGAAGGGCTATTGCAAAAGCAAGAGTCTCTGGCAATGGTGGGGCCTTGCAGCCAAGATCTTGCAAGCAAGCACAGTTCCACATCAGGTTGGCACGAAGGAAACATTAGAATCTAATGATGTACTCATTTGGAAAAATAAGCTTAATTCAACAGAAAGTGCTTTCTGCTTCCTCGGCTGTTCTATCCACTGCATACCTTTGCAGAATAGGAAATCAGTTTTTCATATCATTCTGGAGTGGATGCCCTTGGAATCTTAAATCCTGAAATTCTGGCACTGCAAAGTGGAACATGGGAAACTGCTTTACCCAAAATCAGACCATTGGTCCATCTAGCTCAGTATAGTCTACACTGACTGGCAGCAGGTCCACATGGTTCTAATGGAGACCTTTTACCTGGAGATGCTGGGGACTGAATCTGGAACCTCTTACATGCAAAGCATCTTTTCTACCTCTGGGATATGGCCACTACCCTATATTATAAGCCTATAGAGTTTCTCCCTCCCCTTCTCTCGCACCTTCTCTCACACACCTATATATAGATATTAAATCCAAGCATCAAGCAAAGAAAACTATTTGTTGGTTATCCACTTAAAGCCTTTCACTTAATAGCCTTTGGTACACAAAATCAGACAAACTTATTAATCCTGTCACCCTGTTCAAACATATGGCTTTTCATTGAGGGAGTAATGAAATAAATCTGCAGACATTTTCATATTGATAAACAATAGATTTGAAGGGAGGAAAATAAACCCTGCTTTCTTTAATTTTGGAACGGTGCTTAGATGTGTCACATAAGTAGCATCACAGAACGGGGCATGTGTTCTTCCCAAACTGGACCTGCCTTTGTGGTTTTGGCAAATGCCAGTGTTCAAAATAAATGCATTTGCTGGATTCAAAAGTGCTTCTTGTGCAAGCGGAAGGCACTCCCATGTGAACCGGTGTGTGTGTGTGTGTGTGTGTGTGTGTGTGTGTGTTCTTTGACTCTTCCTTCCAGCTACAGCCCTGAATGCCACATCACCTCATAGGATCACAGGATCCTTCAGAAGGGGCTCAGAAGAAAAGCACACAAGACTACAGCAAGAAGTAAATTGGTGGGGCCAACTCAATCCATGAACAGAAATCTGCTCCAACTTTCCTTCCTTCCTTCCTTCCTTCCTTCCTTCCTTCCTTCCTTCCTTCCTTTTTTGACAAACCACTGCCAATTCATGGAAAGGTTAATTAATTTAAAGGTTTTTAATCAATCCACCTAACTGATTAGTCAAGTAAACACTGCGGCCCTGGAATTTATGACTTGGTGCAAGCTATAAACATCCTGTGGGATAAACTAAGCAAAATGGCACCAGCTTTCCCACGCAGCAGTCCGTGATTGCCTTTGTCTGAAAGAAATTAATCTTAAGGAACTAACGTCCTCCAGAGCTGCTTCTCAGCACTGCAGCAGAGTTACTAACTGCTGAGCTTTATGTACTGTGTATTATTGGAATCGCTTTCTATTTTTGTCCCTAATAATTATGAAGATGAGAGCAAATGCTCTCTCCGCATCCCTGCAGTTTAACGGCAATCAAAACCATATGCAAAGACCGCGGCTGGGATTCAAAGCACCCGTTTTGGTGCGCAGGACTTTTTTCTTTTTAAGCCCCAGCAGATTCTCCTGCTGCTATTCCTCAGAAGCAGCATTGCACTCGAGGATATCTGCAATACTGCTGTGCTTTTGATGGGGGCACAAAATCTGGTAAATGGCACAGGGAGGTGCTACTGTGGGAAAGGGAGTTGAGCACAGAGAGTGTAGTCTGACTCACTGCACTGACCCCACCTGCACTCTACCTTTAAAGCAGTATCATATCACTTTAAACAATCATGGCCTAACCCAAAGAATCCTGGGAACTGTAGTTGGTTAAATGTGCTGAGAGTTGTTAGCAGAACCTCTGTTTCCCCCACAGAGCCAAAGTGCACACAGTTCCCTGTGACTGATTGTTAAGCCACTCTGAAAATTGTAGCTCTGTGAGGGGAACTCTCAATGCCCTTAACAAACTTTACTTCCCAGCATTATTTTGGGGAAAGCCACGGCTCTGTAAAGTGGTATCAAAGCGCTTTAAATGGGTAGCACAGACAGAGACTAATACTCAGACTCATTGAAATCAGTGGATGTAAGTAATTTGTTGGGACTAATTTGATTTCCATGAGCCGGGCACCATCCACAGTTCTCAGGATCCAGTCCACATCTTGGAAAGGAAGTCTGCATCGCTGATGAACAGCTCTTTCAATTAAAAATAGTCCAAACAATATATCTCTGAACGTTAAACTGCAGGTCAGTTTAGATTCAGCACTTTGCAGCATTATTCTTCCATGGCAGTTGTGATCATGAGGACGTGGTACCACTTCCCCACTCTGATGTGACTGAACTACAGCTCCCATCAGCTCTAGCAATTATAGCCAATGGCCAAGGATTGTGGGAGGCTGTTAACATGTGGAGGGTTCCCCAAGACCACTAGCCCACTAGCAATGCAGTCTTTCTCTGTTAAGCAATTTTTCCTGTCTCCTTGGTACAGCATCCTTTGGTACAATAGAGTTTTCCTTAATACAAGCAATTTCTTTCCCCACTTGCTTTTACTTCTACAGGTGCCCTAGTTAGTCTTCCTCAAGACAAATACATTTCAAGGGAGACAGCATTAGCTTAGAATATGAGATAAGAGACAGAACAGCGCAATCTATCTCCCTAAGGTACCGGGGACCATTACAATGAGAAAATACATCAAAATGGTTGGTGTGCATCATTGGTCTTAACGTATACATAGTTCCACATCCTTTGGCATATATCTTGTTTAAAGGGAACTCAAAAGGCAAAGTGGAGAGTTCAAAACAATGTCATGAGCAGAAAATATAAATTTTTCGTTGGGGTGGGGGCAGGAGTTTGTTTATAAAATCACGAACACACGTTAGTGTGGAAGGCCTCTTTTTTAAAAAAACTCCAAATATTTTTGATGACAGGGATACTCCACCTTGCAGTTTCATGTTTCTTTGCCATTAGATGATATCAACCCAAATCTGAGATTTTTCTACCACCAGGTGGCAATAAATTATGGCACCTACGAATCATATGTGAAAATACACACTGCATACTTTGATAAGGAAGTCCACCTTTTGCTCCCTTTTCTGGACCACCTCATTATCACCCCCATGTGAAACCTTGCCATTTCACATGATCAATAAAGGCTATACAGACATAAAAGGAGGAAGGCAAAGGGACTTGCTAAACAATTTCGCAATGATGAGATCTTACTCAGCAAGCTGGCAATGTAAAGTCATGTTCAAGTTCCAAAGCTTGAAAGGAGCCCAGTTCATGTACTTCCACTTTCTGTACTCTGGTGCTCTCCAGATATTTTGGACTACAACTCCCATGAGCCCCAGTCAGTACAATGTTGCTGGCTGGGGCTGACAGGAGTTGTAGTCTAAGACACCTGGAGGGCACCAGGCTGTGGAAACCTAAAGTGTTTCCTACGGTTGTGGGTCCTCTTGTAATAAAAGTGTTGGAACTCTTTCTCTCCCTGATTTCCACCCCACCACACACGCATATGCACCACAATCACACCACACATTGAAAGCACTATGAGACCACTTTAAGCAGTCATGGCTTTCCCCCAAAGGATCCTGGGAGCTGTTTGTTAAGATCTGTTAGGAGCCCCCTAACAGAACTACAGTTCCCTGTATTACCTGTGAAAAGGGATTGCTGGCTAAACCCCTCTGAGAATTGCAGTTCTGTGAAGGAAATAAGGGTCTCTGAAAACTCTCAGGCACCCTTACTCCCAGAATTATTTGGGGGAAGTCATAACTCTTCAAAGCTTCATAGTGTTTTCAATGTATGGCATGAATGCAGTCAGTGCAATGTTAACATGCAGGTTCATTCACGTGAACGTGTGATTGACATGATTCTTCCCCTTCAAAAGGGGGCCTTTGCTTGTTCATTCACACGTGAAGCCCCTGTGTCAGATACTATTTGACATGTGGAGGGAGAATTTGCCCAGGAATAAACACCATGTAAAAAAGTTCCAACAACCAGGTAAGTATATGAACTGGGCTTAACATATGACTTAGTTTTCTATTAATGTCTTTTTTCTTTCTTTTTTATATATATAACAAAAGTCAGTTTGAGGGGTAAAGGATGCACTGACGAAGAAGGAGGGGGAAAATAAACATTATAAACTATACCCTTGCTGTCAAAAAGACTTCAGAGTCAGCTGCCATCTCGACATGAGGTTGCAATTCCTGTTACTATACCATTTAGAGAGAGGGGAGAACATGGTTAACGGATTGGCCCCTCAATGGAGTTCATCAAGAAAAGAGTAAATGTTTCGCTTAAAACATGTTGAAGTGGGTGTTTTGTTGTTTTTGCAGGGGATATCCAGTTGACGTCTGCTTAAAAGAACCACCTCAGCTTGCTCCAAAAAGGTCTTTTTCTGATTCTGGAGACTGTGGCCTTGATATTTCGTACAACTCCTGTGGTGATTGCGAGCTTCTTCTAGAGGCTAATATCCTTAGTATCTCAGCAAGCTGTTTTTCTATGTTCGTTATTTTTGTGTTTAAAGCTTTGATGTCCTCTTTCAGCTCATGCTTCACTTCCAGCATCGTGGCCTGAAGAGTCTGTTCGGGGATGGGGTAAAACGAGTGCTTGACTTCTGCCAGGACGGGACTTCGGTCCTGAGGACTCCTCGTCTCCCCCACGTTGTCCAAGCGCAGGTCGCTTTTCGTGATGCCGCTGTCGCAAGAGTCGGTCTTCTTCAGAGTGGCTTCCCCTACCACTTTCGTCCTCTCTGGCAGCGTCTCCATGGATTCTGCCTTGGAGACTTTGTTCCAGTCTTCTCCCTTCGCACAGGCATCTTTGAACTTTGCCCAGCCTTTGCGCTTCGGAAAGTCTCCTGCCACCTTCACCCCTACGTAGTCTGAGGCCGGGGCTTGAAGCTTGGCCTGGTCGGATACCCCGGATGTTGAAGCAGACTGGTAGGTGATCGGCGTTGCGGGGCTTTCCCTGACGGTGACGATGCTAGCTTTAACCACAGTGCGCGAAGGGTGGTCTCCTAGAATGTTGCCTTTCTCCACATCCAAGTCGTCTCGGCCTCTTTCTGCAGCCAACCGGGCCTCCTTCTGCTGCCTAAATCTTTGAAAAAGCCGGCGGACTGGATGGTCAGGTGGCAAGACTAAAGGGGCTTCGTTCTTCCTTTTCATCCTCTCTTCTTCTTCTCGCTTGACGTCACTAATCTTCCGGAATACAATCTGCAACGGGGAAAAATATATCACACTAAGGGTTAGAGAACCAGAGTGGGAAAGGATATCCATTTTCGTTATTTGAACTGATAATTCTGCATGCTCAATAGCTCATGATACAGGAGCGTAGGACTCTGCCTAATATTAAGCTAGACCATTGATCCATCTTTCTTAATTTTGTCTACATTGACTGGCAGCCGATCTCCAAGGGTTCAGGCAGGGGACAGTCCCAGCCCTGCCTGGAGAGGCCAGGAATTTGAACCTGGGACCTCCTGCATGCAAAGCAGATGCTCTGCTCCTGAGCTATGGACCTTTCCCATAAATATACATGAGCAGATTATCCCAGGCAGCTGACGTATGGTTCAAAGAGGGATTTTTGTTGTTATTCAGATGTGCCTAGCATTCCACATGTGGACACTATCTAGCACATCCCTAAATGCAGCATTACAAAACAATATAATCACTCTACAAGACAGTAGTGCTATTGCATTGAGCTGCTTGTTACCTTTCAGTTTACTCCATCTCTTACACAAACTCAAAGTCAATGCAAGGATTGTGGATAGAGGTGAGAATTAATAGACTTAAACACTTTTTAAACACCAGTTTCTCTAGGCTGATTGTATGGGTGGAACCACATAAATCCCCAGAGGCCTTCAAATAGCAGCCAGGCCTCTCTTTGAACACAACCCTCACTTAGAAGGTTTGTGCATTTCTTAGATAAGAGCAGTCGGGGGGAGTGGCTGGCTCTCAGCCAGTTTTCTAGGCTCTAGTACTCCACAAAAAGGCTTTCGTTGAGCAAGAAAAGTGGTGGTGGTGGTGTGTCTGTGTGACCCCTTTCCATTCATTCCTAATGTCACAAGGAAACCCGCCCTGTGCACTCAGATTTCCATTTCAATGGGAACATCAGTTCTAGATCAGGGGTTGGGAACTTCAGACTCAGGGCCAAATGCAGCCCTCCAGGCCTCTCTGCCTGGCTCCTGGGGCTCACTCAGGCCACATCCCTCACCTGCTTTGCACCTTCCCTGAGTGTTTTTGCATGGGAGCAATGAGTCCGTGAACTCTACTAATGCCTCTTGTTTGCCTGGATGGAGGATGGAAGGGTGTGTGTAGAAACCAAAGTAAAATCCACATTTGCTGCTGCATCTGGCTCTATGAACAGCCCTACCTGTGATGGCAGTGATGACAAAAATCAGGGTCTGAATATTGCAGCAAGATCTTTACAGATGTTGCCCTTGGCCAGGTGTGACTCCTTCATTAATCCAGGCCACACAAGGTTATTCACTGTTCAGGTCCAGTTTATTTGCTACCAATGTACATAGTGACCATAAAAAAACAAATCCTTTATGGCGGGGCTCTCTATTCCCTATTTGATCAGTGACATCATCAGCAGGTGCGGATGGCGTGAGTCATCAGCTGGTGCCGATGGTGAGTCATCTGAGTTGCACCACTGCTTTCAATCTGTATACATACACCCACACACCCACACACACACACCCTGCTTCACAGGGACAACTGGCCCTGGCATGAACAATCATCACATGATCTGGGCAAGGCCAACCAGGGAAACAGCCTTCCAGTAACATATGGCTCACATTTTCATGTCCCTCAGGCCACAGATTATATTACACAGCTGCAGTTCTGCCACCCTTGCTTTACTCATTGCTGTGGACTTGCTCCCCTTCTCACCTGTTGCCTTTCCTTCTGCTACTAAACCCCCTTAATTTGTAGCACGGCTTTCCCTCAACTTCCTCCTGAAACCTCATCACCATTTCTGAGCTCAAGGAGTTGGTTAACCAAGGTGTCTGCACTGAGGTAAAAAGGCTATTGAAATCTGTTGTTGTTGAAGGAAAGCCTCTTTGAAAGGGCTACCCTTGGCAGCCACCTGGGGCATAGGACTATCACGAGAGCCTTTTTGGATCAGGTCAATGGCTCATCTAGCTGAGCATCCTGTTCTTGCAGTGGCCAACCAGATGCCCATGGAAAGCTAGCGACAGCATTCTTCCCACCTGCAGTGCTCAGCAACTTGTATCCAGAGTGCCTCTGAGAGTGGGGGCAGAACCCAGTCATAGTAAAGGTAAAGGACCCCTGGATGGTTAAGTCCAGTCAAAGGCGACTATGGGGTTCCAGCGCTCATCTCACTTTCAGGCCGAGGGAGCTGACGTTTGTCCACAGACAGCTTTCCGGGTCATGTGGCCAGCATGACGAAACCACTTCTGGCGCAACGGAACACCCTGACAGAAACCAGAACACAGCAGCAGCGGGGGGAGGGTGTTGGCTCCGTGGTGGGCGGTTCTCTCCCGGCGCGGAGCAGGCTCCGCTCTGCGCCGCCCATACCCGGCGTATAAGACAACCCCTGACTTTTTAACCTCTTTTCCGGGGTTAAAAAGTTGTCTTATATGCCAGAATCTACGGTACTAGTTTCTCATAATTTTAGCTAACAAAACGCTATTACCCCAGTGAGAAATAACTTTTGTGTTATAGAAGTTAATTAAAAACAACAACAAACAGCTAAACAAATAAATAAACACATGTCAAAGAGGTATATTTATATTAAGAGAGTTATAACAGGCACACAAAATAATGAGACATTATGTTTCCCTGATGATGCTAATCCTACTTGGTATTCTCCTCGATGCTGGGCAGACACACAAACAAATAGCTTTGCTAATTTCTGCCGTTTAGAGAGGCAGGTGAACTTGGCAGTTAGAGCTGCCAAATGGGAAATGAGAGGTTTTTCATCTTTGCAAACACTTCGTTTTCACATCTCAACGCGAAAGCCATGCATAAAGTAGCAATGGCATAAGAAGATCCAGCGCCAGTTCTGCTGGAAGCTGCAGGGTGACTTTGTACATGCGGCTGGGATCTGACGGTTTCCCTCTCCACCACGGTACAGAAAGGATAAAGATTCACATCACTCTAATTTAGAGGGTTGTCTAGGTGAGGATGGGGGAGAAATGTATGCTTCCTAAGCCAGTAAGCGAACTGAATTTTGTGACACAGTTTCCCAGTCAAAATGGTGCACAAAAATGCACCCATTAGTGGAAATAATATACAAAATGGCATTCTATGATAGAAAATGACTCACAAAATGCACACATTAGGCAAATTGCACGCAAAATTGCATATGGATGAGAAATGCTCATAAAATGCATAGTTTTGTGTGTGCAGGCTTTTAAAAGACAACTTCACACACGGATGTGGGCGAGCTGAACTCAGCTTTGGTAAAATGATAAATGTGACAGATTCATCCCTCTCTAATCCAGATGGAATAGCTCCTTCTGCTTAAGGAAGGGCCATAGCTCAGTGGCAGAGCATCTGCCTTGCAAGCAGAAGGTCCAGGGTTCAATCCCTGGCCTCTCCAGGTAGGGCTGGGAGAGGCTCCTGCCCCAAATCCTGGAGACCCTCTGCTAGTCAGTGTAGACAGTACTGGGCTGGGTGGACCAATGGTCTGACTCAGTAAAAGGCAGCTTCCTATGTTCCTACTGACAGAAAGGACTGAGATCCAACTAAGTCTCCCACTGGAAGAAGGAGTTGGTGGTCCAGTTTTGTCCATTCCCTCTTCTGCTTGCTACACTGTCTGTTACATTTTCCCAGAGGGTGCCCCAACATGGCAGAGCAGTATTCAAGGGCACAGGAAATTGTGAAAATTGCCTCAACCCCTCCCTCCAGCAGGGGCAGAGGTAGCCCAGTGACTACAATCCAGTCTTTTACAAATAACATATTCAGGCCCAAATGACTTGAAGGACCTCTGTACTTGAAGGAGAGCCTCTCTCTGTATGTTCCTGCCCATGAGTTGAGATCTTCCAAGGAAGTTCTCCTTAATGTACCATCACTGGGAACTGTATGCTTGGCAGTGCCACATGGATAGACATTTTCTATGGTGGGACACATAGAAGGCAAATTCAGCACTGAAATTCAGATGCCTTTGTTGTTCAGGCCTTTGTTATTTGATACTGCAGATATTGTTTTTAATTGCATTTTCTCTGGAATATGTGTTTTAAATGGAGACTTCATCATTTTATTGATTTTCTTGTGGCCTGTCCAGAGATCCTAGGATAAGATGGTCTAAACATAGCCTACCTAAATAAACAAATAAACCTCCATTTAATAATTAGCCTTGTTTCTGAACTTGGGAAGTCCTTGCGTGGGCAATGGAGCTTCCTAGATCCAGCGACGCATTATCTCAACTCGCCCTTCCAAATCGGTTATGCTGTTGTGTCTCAATGATGATTTATATTCACTTATGTGAACACCATTGGTGTGACCATTGCCTTACAGAATAACGAGCAAAATGTCAAGCTGTTGCCCTGAGGTTGAAAATTCAGCACAAGGGAATGTGAGAAAAATGGTAATGGGAAGAACAGGCATGCTTTTCAGAGGTCTGGAGGACTAAGAGGTTAAGTCATGGAGAAAAGGTGGCTTGGAAGGAAGAGAGATAAACAGAATTGCATTGCATGTAAGGGTAGAATTATTTCATAGTTTATCTTGTTGGTGTGTTTGGAAGTTTGATATTGTTTTATTGAATAGTTGGTTATTTTATAAAGCCCCATATAGCACCAACCTCTGATATTTTAGGGATGAAGGGTGAATTACTAATGCTTTTACCAACAACAAAAATCATGGGAGTGGGAGACTGTTAAATGGCTGAGGGTGGTGGAAGTTTTAGAAACCAAACGTGCTTCCAGAAGAGTGTTTATCATGGGACTGATGCTGCTGTTGTATGCCACTCTATTTCCAGCATCCACACATTCCATATCTCTACCCTTCCCAATTTAATCCAGATGTACATTTACTGTGGAAAATTTCTGGATTATGGGTTTTCTCTTTCCCCCCTCTGCTCCTAATGTTTGTATCTTCAAAAGAAGTGATTTAAGTGTTTCCTATGAAAGAGAATTGGAAATGACTGTCCTTCCTACCCCACCCCAAATACTGCAAAGAGGGCACATGGAAGGAAAAAAAGTAAAAACTGAGCAAATGAGATAATTTCAGTTCAGCTCTTTCATATATATATTTTTTAACACACATTGCACTGGGGTGCGTGGTGCAAAATGAATGTGTATTCAGCTTTCTTGTGCAGAGGTGGCAGTAGCTAAGAAATCAGAAACACTGTGAGCCACCAGGTATGCATATTAACGCTGGCATCACAATTCTGCCTCAGCTGAAGTTCAGAGAGAATTTGGAGGCTCCTGCTCAGGTGAAATATCAGAGTCATTGAAAGGGAAGCCAAGAGAGACTTATAAGCCTAATGAAATATCTCAGTGGGATTTCTCATGTCTCTAGTATTGATAATGAGCTAAAGGACAGCATGGCTGCCTTACTGGGTCATAGAATCATAGAATTGTAGAGTTAGAAGGGACTCTGGGAATCATCTCGTCCAACCCCCTGCAATGCAGGAATAGGCAGCTGCCCCATATGGGGATCAAACCTGCACCCTTGGCATTATCAGCACCACACTCCAATCAACTGAGCCATCTAGGCCCCCAGGGTCAGACTCACCACTGCTTCCAAATCTGATTGGTCTTTGACACCCAAAGTGTCTGGCAAGGTCTTTCCCGTGACCTCCTACTTTCCTTTCACCCGAAGATGCCAGGGACTGAACCTTCCGCATGCAAAGTGTGAGGTTCTGAGCTGCATTCAAAGCTTCTGTTTTTGAGACGTATGGCATGGACGTGACTGTAGATAAGAACACAATAAGAGCTTGCTGGATCAGGCCAGTGGCCCACCTAGTCGAGCATCCTGTTCTTGCAGTGGCCGCCCAGATGCCTGGGGCAAATCCACAAGCCAGATCTAAGCACAAGAGCACTCTTCCTCTCTTCTTTCGCATCATTTCTGCCTCCAGTTGGTGAAATCCTCCTTTAAAGCCACCCTTAGTCCTGTCAATTAATTTCAGTTTGTCTACTCTGTGTGGTAAAGGTAAAGGTAAGGTACCCCTGCCCGTACGGACCAGTCGTGTCCGACTCTAGGGTTGCGCGCTCATCTCGCTCAAGAGGCCGTGAGCCGGCACCGTCCGAAGACACTTCTGGGTCACGTGGCCAGCGTGACGAAGCTGCTCTGGCGAGCCAGCACCAGCGCAGCACATGGAAACGCCGTTTACCTTCCCTCTATAAAGCGGTACCTATTTATCTACTTGCACTTAGGGGTGCTTTTGAACTGCTAGGTGGGCAGGAGCTGGGACCGAATGACAGGAGCTCACCCCGCCGCGGGGATTCGAACCGCCGACCTTGCGATCAGCAAGTCCTAGGCACTGAGGTTTTACCCACAGCTCCACCCGCGTCCCACTCTGTGTGGTACTAGCACTGAATAAAAGCCTATCTTTCCCCCTGGCCACACCATTTTTCGTTTTATATCTCTATTTCATGTCCCACTATGGTGTCAGCCACACTTCCAAAAGCCTGATTCCAATTTGACAGTAAACAGTGGGTTTTCCCAGAGAAAGTAGCAGGACAAAAGGAAAACCTCTTAGACTTCGTGACTTGAAATCACGAGACAAACTAAAGCGCAGATGAACCCTCGTTTATCTTTCTTCTAAACCAAAATACCTCAAGTACTTTAGTCTTCCTATTAGAAAAGGAATTGTTGGTTAATCCTGCCATAATTTCCCATTTCTGGGAATTTCTCTTTTTTTAAAAAATAAAAAATAATATTTATTAATAATTTCAGAATTACAGAAAAGAAAGAAAAAACAACACTACAATGCATAAAAAGAAGAAAAAACGCAAAACATAAAAAACCAATACAACAATACAGCAAAAAAATAAGAAAGGAAAAAAAACACAAATCCCACATTACATATCTTTAACTTCCATTTGCTTGTTTCGTTGACCTCCTCACACCTCCCTTTTTGTATTCTAGTTTAGTTAGTTATTTCAGCAAATTCTTTCCATCTTTCTCAATTATTATTAAATAATTTATCTTAACAATTTAACCTATTAATTAACTCGACAGATCCTTTCCATCTTTCCCCATATTCTGTTATTCAAATTACCTTAATTTATTTAACCTTATCTTACCATAAAATACCTTAAAGCTTGAAACTTAATACTCAGTTATACATAACTCCTGATATCATTTCTACTAGAGTCATATAGTTTCATTCCAACATTTTCCCTAATATTCATTAATTTTAGGCTAATTCCCTAAATAAAAAATTTTCTTTATAAATTTTCTTCCAATCTTCATCCAACGTCTCTTCTTCCTGGTCTCAGGTCGTGTCTGTCCTTACTGTCCATTCCATCTAGTCCATCAACCTGGAAGTCTTATGTCCGAGGCCCTTAAGTCTCTTCCATGTCCCTTCTGCAGATCTTCTTCTTCTTGTTTATACTTGCACTTTTCCTTGTCTTTTGTTGGTCTCTTTCTTAATTTCTTTCCTTTCTCATTGAGGAGTAGGTCTCTGGGGGGTTCCAACCCAAAATTATCTCCGTCTCCCTTCATCAAACCAGCCCATTCCCCACAGTCCCACTCCCCACAGTCATCAATATAATCCAAAAATGTTTACAAGCATATTTCGAAGTCTCTCCAAAGTTAAGAGCCTCCTCAGCTCCAGACTCCCCCTGGCCCACTCCAACTTCAATCTTCAAAAACAGTGGCTTATGCTTCTGTAGGGCCTTGGGCCTCTCCATTTGTATTATTTGAGGTGCAGCCGCAGCCTCCTCCATTATCTTCTGCACTTGCCCAATCAATACAGGTTCCTGAGTTGGACCCTGGATGGTTTCTATATCACTATTCACTATTTGCCCACAGTTATTGGCCACAACAGTCATCAAATCCATTTTCTCATTCATCAAATCCATCTTCTCGTGCATCTGTTCCAACAAAGCATTTGTCTTGCATAAAGCAAGCACCAAGACTTCCTTCAAGCTCATATTTAGTCAAGGTCAAAAGGACTAATCCCACGATCTTAATCTCACAGCTGTGGATTCCTCAAGTAGACTGCAGCAACAATTTAGCAAGCTCCCTCTAGAGGAGACAATTTCTATTTGTATCCATCTTTTTAAGGCAAGTCCAACAAAGGAAAATTACTTTCATTTTTCAGATATTTTGTTTCTTTAGAATGCAAAAGGCAACATTGGAATCAGTTTATTTCTCTTCTTTAGCTATCTGTCAAAGTATTCCATTCACAGTCAATGAACCTCTCCAACAATTTCTGTCTCTGACACCCCCTTCCCAGGTTAGAGACGGTGGAAACTTATCTTTCTTCACTCCCTCTCCTGCAGGCGTTACACAAAGTCCCCCCCCTTTCCCTGCTTCCAAGGGGGTTTCAGTAGTTATAAATGAAGGAAATTTAGGCTTTTTTAATGACTTTCCAGGCTTTAGCTTACAAGGTTTTTGCTTCAGTCTATATACAAAAAGTGGAAGGCGGAC